ACAAAAATACAAACAAAGCTGTGTATATATATATATGTATGTCATACTATATATATATATAGATTCTACGTTCTGGTCTGTTCTTCCAGCCTCCTGCTCACCAAGGCAGCCTTGTCATATCCTTTAAGATTGACCAAGACACACTTCCTCTCTGAAACCTCCCTGCACCCTCTTGACCTCCCCAGGGTCATACATAGTATATATATACATGTCATACTATGGTGGCCTGTGTGTTGCTATGATGCTGGAAGCTATACCACTGGTATTTCATATATCGACAGGGTCACCTCTGGTGGACAGGTTTCAGCAGAGCTTCCAGACTAAGACAGATTAGGAAGAAAAGCCTGAAAATTAGCCAGTGAAAACTCTAAGGGTCACAACAGAACATTGTCCAATATAGTGCTGGAAGATGAGCACCCTTGACTGGAAGACACTCAAACAGCACAGTATCTTCTATACCAACAATTGTGACGATGGCGCAGGGGGACAACGTTTTGTTCTGTTATACACAGGGTCACAGGAGCTGACTGGACGGCAACTAGAAACAACATATATATATAAAACAAAACATTTTGGCTATAAATCTAAGAGCCATACAAATGTAATTTATTTAACAAGCTTTTAAATTTTTCTTTGACTGTCCAAGCTAGATGTCTCTGGCGTCTTGGTGGTTTGATTTTCTAATCTGAGACCCCACCCGACCCTCCCACCCCCATTTCACAGAAGACTCAGCTACAGCTCAGAGAAGTCAATGCCTTGCCAAGTGTCGTCAGGAACTGAATTCCTTCATAGACAGCTGGGTGATCCTGTGAAAGGCATGAGGGGAAGATGAAGCTAGAACATGGAAACTCATATCCTGTTTCCTTCACCAGCCTTTGATTGAGGCCTCCAAGAGCAAGGAACACTGTCTCCCATAGTCCCTGAGTGTTCCCAGTTCTCAGTTAGAGCAGAGGCCAGCCTTTGTAACCTCGGTGAACTGTGGCCCTGTCCTGGTTTTCTTCAGCTCCAGTCCCCACCTTTCTAACTTCAGCAAAACACAGTCATCCCAGGAACCCCACCTGGGCCTACCCTTCCTGTGGGTGGCCCAGAACTCTTCTCCTTCCTCCTCTATCATGGACCTCATCAACAACACTGGGTGTTTCATTCCTAGTGGCCAGTATCTGATTAACAAATTCACATTAAGGTGTTAATGACATGTTAACAGCTTGATATGTTCCTTCTCCCAGGGACACCTGCATTTGAGGGAGCCAGCGATTGCAAGTTCTTTGAAGGCAGCCAACTTTGTACTTCCCTTCTCACCACTTGGTAGGTGATCAGTAGATTTTTTTTTTTTTTTTAGAAGCAGCATGTTTTATTAATGAGGAAACTTAGGTCCATATTGGTGAAAAGACTTGCCAGTTTGGACCACATATGTAAGTCCCTGATAATTTAATTCCAAATAACCAAGTAACTTTCTGCATCAAAACTTTTTTTACTGCCTGTATTTTTTTTTTCTAAAATTCACAGCCTAAATATCCCTGTCCTCTTAAATTGAGTACACAGGGCAGAAGTTACTCTTTTCTTGATGACAGAAATTGTCAACATATACGTCTATTATTTGTTCTGGTGTAATAAGAAGGCAATGGGGAGGGAGGTTTGTCCCCACATGAAATGTCTCTGGTCTGTGGTTTTTGTTTGTTTTCCTAAATTTTATTTATGTTGTTGCTGTTGTTGAGAATATACACAGCAAAACATACACCAATTCAACAGTTTCTACATGTACAGCTTAGTGACATTGAGCACATTCTTTGAGTCATGCAACCATTCTCACCCTCCTTTTCTGAGTGGTTCCTCCCCCATTAACATTAATAATTGATAACATTTATTGAACATTAAATATGTACTAGGCTCTTACTGAGCACTTTACATGGATTAACATATGTAATCACCACAACCACTCCATGAGGAGTTTTTATCCCATTTCAAGTTGGGAAAGCTGAGGCTTAGAGAGGTTAAATAAAGCTTCCCCTCTAAGGAAGTCCCTGGCTCTTAACTGGTGCCACGTTAGGGTGGAAGCAGGCCCAGAAGGTTCCTAAAGACAAGGCATCTCTGCTGTCTGGCTGCTGCCCCAACAGGGGACTATTCATCTGCCCTCTCGCACTGGGAGTCTGGTGTTCAGAGGCTGGTCCTGGGCCCTGAGGGCAGGCACAGAGGGAGGAGTTGGCTGAGTGACATGGGACCCTCACCGAGGACCTAGATCATCCACACAAGTGTCAATGGACAGAGGCGCTTAGGGTACAGAGGAGACGAGATGGGTCTAAATCCAGGGTTTTAAGCAGGAGCTTGAAAAAGGAGAAGGGTATGGGTCAGAAGAGACAGAAAGAGAAGGTATTCCAGGCTGGGTAGTAAAGGTTTGGCAGAATTTTGGAGGTAGTCATAGATGAGGCCTGTCAGTGAGGTGTCCTTGGCTGGAGTAGGGAGCAGCAAGGAATGAGGCAATAGGATGTGTCAGGGGCAGAGGCAGCAGCTGTAGAGTTGCTAAAGGCTGGGCTGGGGAGTTGCCATACATATTAGAGAAACATGCAGCCAGCAAAGCAACCAGTGGGGGACCCGCATAAGAGGACACAGTTCTGAGAGCTATGAAAGGCCTTTAGCATTATACCACAAGCTCCTTGAGTCCCCAGCACTGAGCACAATGCCTGACATACAGCAGGCACTTGAAGGAGGTTTATAGAAGGAAGGCGGAAGGAGGAAGGAGGAAGGCAGAGAGGAAGGAAAGAAGGGAGGGAGGGAGAGAGGAAGGAAGGAATATACTAGGTGGTCTCTGTCCTGGAGAAGCTTCCATTCTCCTTACAAAGAAAAACTAAAGTGACATCTGATATGGTCTTCAGAGGAGCCTCGTAGGAGCTTCACACAGAGTCCCTGCCCTCCAGCACATGCCAAGAACATGCTAAGGGCTAAGAGAGATGAGGAGGGTTCAGACATGGGCTATGCTGATCCAAGAAGACTTCCTGGAGGATGCAGTATGGGAGAGCAATGGAACAAGAGGTGAGGAAGGGGAAAGAGAGAAGGATGGATGGAAGATGGAGAGGAGAAAATGGGGGGGGGGGCAGAAAAGGTGAGAAAGAGAGAAGATAGAAAGAGAAAAAAATTCTGGTGTCTTAAATAAGAATAATGAAGGCAAAAAGATGGGGTGGGGAAGGGAATGGATCCCAAGTCAATCATATAAACCCAAGTGAGAGAGTGCCCCAACCAACCTGGCTCCAGGTTTCCCTCCTCCCTCCTGTGTACACACCCAGCCAAGAGCCACAGCTCACCAATGGAACCCAATAGAGACCTTCAGCCACGGACAATCTCCAAGAACAGAGCCAGGGGCTGAATAGGGCCACAGCAGCAATAACAACAAAAGGCAAGGCACCATGTAGGACTGGAGGCCCTGAGTCGCGGGCCCATCATGGCAGCCAGTGACCCAGGATGGAAGGGACAGCAGTAGAATCACAGAACAGGGATCACAGGACTGTATGGAGTGGGATGGCAGTGTTTACTGGGTCACCCTTCTTGGGATCTTTTCAGCAGAGCCGTCTTGAGGCCTGGACTCCTGGGAGAGCCCAGCCAGCCTTTGTTCTTAGCTCTTGTGGGCTTGGGGATACAACAGAAGTTAAGTGTCATACTGATAGCAATTTCTTCTTTTTTTATTTTGGTAAATATATATGTAACAAAACATTTGACAATGTTCACATGTACAGTTCAACGACATTAATTATGTTCATCATGTTGTTGCTGTTGCCATTGAATCAGCTTCAACTCATGGCGACTCCATGTATAAATGAACAAAATGTTGCCCATTCCTGTACCATCTTCATGATCTTTGATATGTTTGAGCCCATTTTTGTGGCTGTTGTGTCATCTATCTCATCAAGGACTTCTCTCGTTTTCACTGACCTTCTACTTTACCAAACATTATGTCTTTCTCTAGTGATTGGTCCTTCCTGATGATGTGTCCAAAGTAAGCAAGACAAAGTCTCACCATCCTGGCTTCTAAGGAGCATTCCAGTTGTATGATTCTTGTCCCCAAGTTGCTCCTAGTCTTATTAGCAAATATATATTAGAAGAGACAGAAATGATGACATGGAGTACACAGGGATCTTTTCTTGAAACATCTAGAACATGGACAAGTCTCTCTCTTTGCTTTTCTATACCTCCTTCCAGTTGAGCCCTGTAATTTTTCAGCCACCTTCCCCAATGCCATCCTCCTTTTATCTTCCTCTTTCTCTCCAGTTGTTGTCTGGCTGGATAGCTGTGAACTGTCCCTCACACAGCCTCCAACCTGCCTTATGATGGGAGTTTGGAGAGATGAAGAATGGAGACTCTGTTCCCCAGAGAACTTGCAGGAGCACACAGCTCTCGTATGCTCATGATTGGCTCTGCTCATGTCCCATGCCAGAGGAGGGTCACTCCATCCCTAATACCCTGGCATAGAGCTGATGCCCTCTGTGGCTTAGTAGCAGAGGCAAAAAGTGGGCCATGTCTCCAGGAGGCTTGGGAGAAGGGTGAATGCTTGAATGATCTTTCCCTTTCCAGGAAGGACACAGCTATGATTGGAGCCCCCAGATGCCCCGCCCAGTGGCCTTCCCTGTTCAGGGAGGTCTGTCTACCTCCATCCTACCCCTGTTCCCTGAGCCCCCAAGTGGAAGCCAAGAACCCTGAGAAGATTAATCAGCATGGGGATGGTGAGGTGCCAGTGACATCCCCCTGGAGAGGCTGGCACCCGGGGCAAATTAGCCCATAACAGCAGGTTAATTAGATAAGACCCAAATTACATGAGCAAGGCTTGCAAGCCCAGCAATTTGAAGGTTTCATGTTGTTTCAGAGGTGGGGAGGGCTTGATCTCTAGCTCAGCATAGAGAAAATGACTTTTTGCTCCCAGGCAAACCAAACCCACGAATTAAGCTCTTGACTGCCCATCCAGGAGCCCCAGTGCTAAGCATATATAAGGGGACCTGTCACTCCTCACCACAACCAGCAGAACCGTGTGGGATTTTGGCTTCCTTCCTCCTGTGTTTGAGCTCCATCTCTACCAGCAACATGAGCTGCCAATTCACCTCCAAGTCTGGAGCTGCCACCAAGGGAGGCTTCAGCGGCTCCTCAGCAGTGCTCTCTGGGGGCAGCTCATCCTCCTACAAGGCAGGGGGCAAAGGGCTTAGTGGGGGCTTCAGCAGTCGGAGCCTCTACAGCCTGGGAGGCACCCGGAGCATCTCCCTCAACATGGCCGGTGTCAACGGAAAGAGTGGAGGCTATGGGTTTGGCCGGGGCCGGGGCCGGGCCAGTGGTTTTGCTGGCAGCATGTTTGGCTGTGTGGCCCTGGGGCCCGTGTGTCCAACTGTGTGCCCACCTGGAGGCATCCATCAGGTCACCATCAACGAGAGCCTCCTGGAACCCCTCAAAGTGGAGCTGGACCCTGAGATCCAGAAAGTGCGTGCCCAGGAAAGGGAGCAGATCAAGGCACTGAACAACAAATTTGCCTCCTTCATTGACAAGGTGGGTCTGCTAGGACCTGGGGGAACCTCTAAACATCCCCTCTCTTCTCTTCTTGGTGCATGAGGTTTTATTATAGCAAGAAGGATTGAGGCTAGATATAGAAGGGCCCTTCCTGTGGACAAGGCAGGTGCTTTCCCTAGTCAGGTTGACTTGTATAAGCTTCTCTGTTCTGAGAAGGAATCCACCCAGAGTAACCAGGAGGCTTGCTCTCCTCCCATCGCACGCTCATCTTGTCCATCAGTCAGTTAACTGGTGGATCCTGAGCATCAGTGTGTGGTCACTCACAGATGTCTCAGCTATGGGATTCCTTTTATAGGTTAAGGGCCTTCTTGAGAGGCAGAATACTGTAGTTTTAAGAAGCTCTTCAGAGTGCTCTGAAGTCAGTCCTGGCTTCAGTCCTGCCCCTATCACTTGCCAGCTGTGTGGCTTTGGGAAAGTTTCTGACCCTGTTTGTGCCTCCATTTCCTCATCTTTAAAATGGAGACAGTAACCTACCTTTTGGGGTTGTTGTCAGGTTTTTTAAAAAAAAAGGCATGTGAAGATCTTGGCACAATGTACCACACTAAATACTCCAGAACGGTGGTTATTGTTGCAATCATTTCTATCCCAGGAGGGCAAGGGAGAGGTACTGAGAAGGGGAAGAATAGAAGGGCTGGAAGAGATCCAAGGGATCATCCAGTCCAGATAGGCCCTTGACTTTTAAAAAATTATTACACTCATTTTGCAGATGAGTCAGCAAAGGTATGGAGGTAAATGCCATGTCCAAGATCATTTGGGAGGAAAAGAAAGGTGAGGTTGGGCCTTTAGCCTCCTACCTGCCAGATCCAGTACTAGAGATTAGAGGGTTTAGAGATTAGAGGGCTTAGAGATTAGAGATAGAGGGCTAAGTTCCAGTCAGACACTGAGGACAGGTCAACCCAGGACAAAGTCTATGGTTGAGAAAGCCACATGGCCATCACAGCTTAACCTCCCCATTGCAACTCTAGGCTTCCTGTTGGACACTTCCCTGCTGCCCTCTGCTCAGCCTCAGGGACTATGAACATCTCTGTGGCATCTTACTCTTCAAAATCATTTTATATACGGATGATCAAGGCATTCTGAGGACTGGATTCCGGGGACAGGAGTGGACTGACCCTTGGCTGGGCTGGTCAAAGCTTATTAAGGGTGAAGTCTGGAGACATGGAAAGAAAGATGAATATGAAGACAGTCACCTCTTGTTGACAAAAGTGGTTATCCGGGACAGAGGGGAAGAGGCTCTAAGGCCTCAACAGTTCCCAAATAATTTCAGTCTCCTGAGTATAATCCCTTGACATCTGACAGCCAGAGAAAATGGTAAATCTTATCAGCAATCCAGATGTGTCCAGTAGTCCGATGTGTATTGTGGTGCATAGACTATAGGGTTTACTCTGTGGTTAGTGCTCAACAGTATGGATATATATGAAAATGTTAGGACTTGTTAAACCAAACCAAATTCTGAATGATCTGCTGGAGACGTCTGTTCGAAATTCACCTCCACGGTGAATTTCAGATGATTTTCCCCTTGTCTGTATTTCTGACTACAGGGAACACAACCTTATTTAAATGGAAGCCATGCTTGTGTAGATTAAGAGAAGTTAAATTTTGAAAATTGTGTCCCCCAACTCAAACAAGAAAGGTCTGTGCAGACCAACCCCTCTTGTCGGTTTCCTGGCCCAGTGAGGGACAGCAATGGAAAGGGTGCACCAGTCTGTCCACCTTGAGCCACATGCCACTCTTTTCTCTAGATGAGATGACTCTGATAAGAGGGATTCAGGGGAGAGGGCAGAAGCTAGGATCAAAGATGGAGGTGGGGCCTGACAGAGTTGGTCCAGAAGCCCTTATTTGATCTTTGGCATGTTATAAAATGAAGAGCACTTTCTCTTCTTCAGAATGGTCAACCTTTCTAACAAGATGGACCTGGCCACTTCTCTGTCCTAGTATTTTCAGATACTGCTATGCCCTGAGCAGGTTTGGCCACAGTGAGTTCTGGGTGATAGGGTGCACATGTTCGGGTTCGGTCTGAGCTCCACCACTTATTAAGCTGTTGGACCTTGGAAAGTTGCTGAACTTCTCTGTGTCTCAGTTTCCTCTCCATCAAGTAGAGGTTAATGATTCATCCACCTCATGAAGCTGTGGTGCAGGGAAAAGGAGACAATGTAGCTGGAGTGCTTCACACAGTGCCCTGTGAGAGGCAGCTTTTACTGTGTCCATGAGGCTCAATAGCTTCTGGGCTTTGGGTTCCAGGTGCGATTCCTGGAGCAGCAGAACCAGGTGCTGGAAACCAAGTGGGAGCTGCTGCAGCAGCTGGACCTGAACAACTGCAAGAATAACCTGGAGCCCATCCTTGAGAGCTACATCAGCAACCTGCGGAAGCAGCTGGAGACACTGTCTGGGGACAGAGTGAGGCTGGACTCAGAGCTGAGGAATGTGCAGGACATTGTGGAGGACTACAAGAAGAGGTGAGCAAGGAGGAGACTCTCTGTAGTGGGACAACTGCACCTGTCTTTCTGAGCTCATCCTGCAGGGGTTGGCTCCTTGGGGCCTGGGCAGATGCCCCAGTTTCTGTAGCAGGAGCTTGAACTTTTTAGAGGTGCAGGGCAATGTCCTGGGTCACACTGACCACAGTGTCCCCAACAAACCTCTGGAACTTGCTCCCTGTTCCTGCAGTCTCTGGTAAGGCACCTAGGCAAACATCTAGTCTACTGGGTAGTGGTCTGAGGGTTAGCTCTGGCTCTGGGGTGAAGAAACCTTGGGAGAACTCTCGCATTCTCCCAGCGCTTCCATGTCCTCTTTGGTAAAATGCGGGTAAGTACATCTACCTCCCAGAATTACGGTGAGGAGCAGCTGAGGAAAGCATATGGAAGCACTTTACAATTTGTAAGGCTTTATTCAAATTTTGGGGGAGAATCTTGCTTCTTTCTTCCTCCAAGATTTCCCACAGGACAGTCACCCCACATACTTCTTCCTCATCTTCCGAGCTGAAACTTCAACAATTTCCTTCTTACAAACTTGGTTGCCATGTCCCCTCCTCCAGGAAGCCCTCCTTGCCTGGTTGGTGCCTCTTGACCCTCAGCATCTCTGCCCTCTGTCTGACACGCCACTCCTCACTCAGGATCTTCCCTGGGCAAGTGAGGGCTCTCAGTAAGATGTATTCACCTGACTGAGCTGTGGCATTCCCACAGGTACGAGGAGGAAATCAACAGGCGGACAGCTGCAGAGAACGAGTTTGTGCTGCTCAAGAAGGTGAGAGCGAAGGCAGGCCCTGATTCCCAAGGGCTGACCTGGGACCAGGAGGTGTTGAGCCCGCCAATGTGCTCCACTATCAGCCAGAAGACAAACTGATTCAGAAAGAGTGAGGTGAAAGGCAGAGAAAAGCCACAGTGAAAACTATTCAGGAAGAAAGAATGAAAAGGCAGGAGTCTGGTATGAGAGGATCCTTACTGAGGGCATGGGTTATCCATAGAGAAGAATCACAGAGAGGCTCCTTCTCCTGCAAGCACGACACAAAGGGGCTCCCAGTGTAGCTGGAAGGATCTGGCTCAAAGAGAGATGGCCGACAAGTGGCCTTCCCGAGAGGAGCAACCACCCCGGCAGAGGGAGCAGATCCTTGGGATGGGATGGGCTGGACCTTTTGCTCCTTCATCTCCTTTCCCATGTACCATGAAGAAGAGCGCTGGCTACATTGCCCATGCTGGACACCCAGGCTGGGTGGGGCTCACCTTCTTAGGCTGCACTGGCATGACTTGACAGATGGCTTGGGCATCTTTTAGGATGTGGATGTGGCGTACGCCAATAAGGTGGAGCTGCAGGCCAAGGTGGACTCCATGGACCAGGATATCAAATTCCTCAAGTGTCTCTTTGATGCTGTAAGTCTGTCTCTCCACTCCATCCATCTGGGGGCAGCCAGTAGGTGCAACTCTATTCTGGGGGGTGGGAGAGATCCAGAGGAGGGAGGCCCATCGAGTTAGCCTTTCAACTCCCATTTCAACCCTAAGAGTTTTCAGAATCTCCACCCTGCAGGTAGGAGGAAACTGGTCAGGGACCTCTCGTTATGGTGACAGGAATCTGTCTGGGGCCTGGCAGTCACGTTGCTTTGCTCAGAGTGGCAATAGCCTTGGGTTTTGAGCCTTTAAGTTGTCACTCTGAAATTTTCTCACCTTGCTTGGGGGAAGTTGCCCAATGCCAGCCTCAGACAGTGGTCAAGCCCCAAGACCATCTGCGTTTCCCTTGCAGGAGATCACTCAGATCCAGTCACATATCAGCGACATGTCTGTCATTCTGTCCATGGACAACAACCGCAACCTGAACCTGGACAGCATCATTGATGAGATCCGCAGTCAGTACGAGGAGATCGCCCTGAAGAGCAAGGCCGAGGCTGAAGCCCTGTATCAGACCAAGGTGAGCTTGGCTGAGGCTAGGCTGGAGAGGGTGGCCCCTGCAGGCCTGAGAGCTGAGGCCATGTCCATACACGTGTCCAATATGCCCTGCACCCCATGATATCACCAACCCTGAGATTTTTGGTCCCAGTTCCAGGAACTGCAGCTGGCAGCTGGCCAACATGGGGATGACCTCAAAAACACCAAGAATGAAATCTCGGAGCTCACTCGGCTCATCCAGAGGATCCGCTCAGAGATTGAGAATGTGAAGAAGCAGGTAAGGGGACTGGCTGCCCATGGCCGGGGGTAGGCAAGCTCAAGTGCAGGGATGGATGAGTTGGCCAAGGAAGTCAGCCTTCCAGATCTCACGCATGAGAAGAGAAAAGGCCAATGAGGTCACTGCCTCAAACAGATTGAGCAGGACACCCTGGAGCCACCTCATCTCCTACCCCACAGACTTCTGCTTTGAAGTCCCTTCCCCTAGGGAATCTTCTCTAACCCCCAGGCTGGGTTAGAGCCACTTTCCCCTGCCCTCCCCTGCTCTCCTGGCACCTGTGCTTGCCCTGTACTTGGCACATTTTTTGAAATTGCCCAACACCAGCCCCACACCTCCAAGTAGATCAAAGGGTCTTTGGAGGCTAAGAGCTAGCTGCTTTGTTAACCCTTGTTTTTTCCAGAATCTAGCATAGTGCCTGGCACATAGTAGCAGCTTAATAAATATCTGCTGATTTGATGACTGAGAAGGAGAAATGAGCTTCGGCAGCACCCATTAAAGTGCCTTCAACAAATATGTATGAAGGATTTACTGGGGCCCCTCCCAGGAATATAGGATGCAGCTTCAGCATTAAGGAGATGTGGAGATAAGATGTACTTATATAATAGCAATAGCAGCAACTCCATCATTTCATCACATTTAACCTTCATAATGACCCTGTGAGGCAAGAGTTATCATCCCCATTGTTACAGATGAGGAAACTGAGGCTCAAAGAGGTTCAGTGGGTGACACAGTTGGTAAGTGGCACAGCTGTGATCTGAACCAGGTCTCCTGACTCATTGTTCAATGCTCTTTCCACTCTCCCCTGAGATTAAGCACTTAGTAGCTGTGTGACCTTGGGCAAGTGACTGGGCCTCACTTCACAGGATGCTGTAAGGATTAAATGAGCTAAGGCACGTAAAGCACTGAGTGTAGTGCTGGGCATACAGCAGGTGCTTGGTAAATAATAGCTACACTGGGGGGTCACCTTCCCTGTCCCTTTGTCTGTGGTCGCCTGCACCTGAGCAGCCACCATTGTTGCACTCACCACACCATATTACAATGACCTCTTCTTCAAAACTTTTAACAAGTTGAGAGCAGAAAGCCGCTCTTACCCTTATTCATCTTGTATCCTCAGTACAGTGTGGCTGAGTAGATATCCTTGCACTCAACTAAAGTGCTGAATTAACCATCCTCTCAAGGGAGCAAGGATGTACTATTTCACATTCCACTAACATTTAAACACAAGAGAGAAGAGATACAGCTAAGGAAGAACTTTCCAGCCCCACAGGGATTCCAATGGTAGAACAGAGCATGGTGGTATAAAGGGTGCAGGTGGGTATCTCTGCCCGGGAATCTTAAAGATTTTGATGTGGATAACTCCAATGACCCCTTCCAGTTTTCTCACTTCTCCAATTCTCTCCTTTAGGCTTCCAATCTAGAGACAGCCATCGCTGATGCTGAGCAGCGGGGAGACAATGCCCTGAAGGATGCCCAGGCCAAGCTGGACGAGCTGGAGGCAGCCCAGCACCAGGCCAAGGAGGAGCTGGCCCGGATGCTGTGTGAGTACCAGGAGCTCATGAGCCTGAAGCTGGCCCTGGACATGGAGATCGCCACCTACCGCAAGCTGCTGGAGAGTGAGGAGTGCAGGTGAGGGTGGGGTGTGGTGCTCTGGCATGAGGCCCCAAGGCCTCAGCCAAAGGAGAAAACCTAACACGTCCTAATCCAGGAAAGATGAGTTCTTGGAGTGTGAGGAGGGTGGTTGCTGATAGGAATAATACTAGTAATTAATAATACCGATCAAAGAGTCCCTGGGTGGTACAAAGTGTTAACGCACTCAGCTGCTAACTAAAAGGTTGGAGGTTCAAGTCTACCCAGAGATGCCTTGAAAGAAAGATCTGGTGATCTACTTCCCAAAAATCAGCCATTGAAAACTCTACAGAGCACGGTTCTACTCTGACACGTATGGGGTTGCTATCAGTTGAAATCATGGCAACTGTTTTTTGTTTTTATTAAGGTTTGAATGCTTATTTCATATCAGGTGCTGTGTAAACTACTTTATGTGGATTGGTTCATGTAATCTTCACAACTTCCCAGGGTGCACCAGGGAACACTCTACTGCCTCTCCTCTCCCCCAAAAAACAACAGTGCATTACTATATTCGGCCTTCTCCTTCCATCTTCCTTACCTGTCCAGGTTCAGTATGAGCTTGTCAGGGATGCTCTGGAGCAGCTACTTTAGGTTCCCCAGTGTTCTGGGGAAATGGAAGGTCTTGGTGTGTGGGCCTAACACTTGGGGAGTGTGCACATTACATTTCATGCAAACTATTCTTGGACTTGGGTGGTTGCCTCATTACTCCAAAGATTCAGGGTTGCCCCTGAAGTGTCTCAGGTTCTTCTTGTGTCAAAGAGCCCTGGAATTCAGACCCCTCCATCAGCCCTGTGGGGTCACTAGCTCTGAGGATTTGTCTCCAGGCAGAAGAGACTGTGGGTCAGTTGACTGCCCTCTCTTATTTCTCTCTTTAACAGAATGTCAGGAGAATTTCCCTCCCCTGTCAGCATCTGTAAGTACTTATGTTCTTTGTCCTAAAATTGTAGAATCTGGGGACTAGAGAGGACCTTAGTCACACCCTATATCTAAGAACCCTGTATCTGTTTCTAATCTAAGAACCAGAGAGGGAAAAGCCTTGCCTAAGATTACACAGTAACCTTCTGGCAGAGGCATAGCCAGAAATCAGGTCTCCAGACTTCCAGCCCAGGCATCTTTCCTCCGTATTACTCTGGTTTCAGGGGATGGCAGCTAGGGAATGCTATTGCCATAGGGGATGGGGACACAAAGGATATGTTGCAAGAAAATAATTTATGGATCTGTGTGAGGCAAGGGGAGCCAGGTTGGTGAGTTACAATCGGATTTGGGCTGGGGAATCAGAGAGGCTGGAGGAATCAGAGATCAAGCCAACAGTATTAGATCTCTCGGTTCAGCAAAGAATCTAACAGAAGGGGCAGTGAGTGAGTGTCCAGAAATACAGGTGGGTATGTTGGTAGCTGGACAAAGAAACAGGTCTCTGAGATTAAATGGAGCAAGAATCAGCCAGATTGGGTATAAACTGATTGAGCCAAGGATAGGATATGGCAGGAAGTGGTCTTTGGCATCTTTTCCCCAGTGGGAAACTGTGACCAGAGCCCCCACGCACCCAGCTCTCTGAGAATTGCCCCATCTGTCCTGGGGATGGGATGCCTCTTTTGGTCCAGCCTAGCTCTGGCGGCATGGGCACTGACCCAGGTTCTCTCCTATAGCCATCATCAGCAGCACCAGTGGCGGCTTCCGGCCCAGCTCGGTCAGCGGCGGCTACGTGGCCAACAGCACCAGCTGTATCTCTGGAGTGTGCAGTGTCCGCAGCGGGGAGGGCAGGAGCCGAAGCAGTGCCAGTGATTGCAAGGATACCCTGGGCAAGGGCTCTAGCCTGAGTGCCCCCTCCAAGAAATCCAGCCGGTAGAGGGGGTCCTAAACCCTCCTGCCACTCCATGACCCCACTCTGGGCCCCACGCTGCCCTCTCCCTAACCCACTGTCAGCTTTGTCTACACCGTGTCTACACCCTGCCAGCCCTGCTCTTGCACATCTGGCAACTCCACTTCTCCTAGCCTGTGTCTCTTGGAGGCTGGACAGGGCTGGATGAATCAGTCTGTGAAATGCCTCCCTGAAAACTCCCGGCATTCTTCTCCTTGGCTGCGGTCCCCCAGCCATGCCACCATCTTGGCTCTTGGCTTCCAGCCCTTCCTCCTCTGCCCAACCTCTGGTTTAGTCTTCAACTACTCTGCCTGGCTCCCTGGGTCCCAGACTGAGGTCCTCTCACACTGGGGCATTTGTCCCAGCTTCCACCTATGATAGGAACTGGCAGTGTGTTCAAGAAAAGGAGGCTGAAGGACAGACAACCAAGAGGGGCCCATTCCCCACCCCACCCTGGCTCAGGCCCACAGCTCATTCAGAGTGGGACCAAGTACAAGTTATGGTCTCTTTCTTCACTTTCCTGCATCTAGAAGCAGAGGAGAGGAGGCACCTTTCTGTTCTCTCTTGTTCTTAAAGGCCTACCCTGTTGCATCCCCAATAAACAGCACGATCTGACGGCTTGGTCTCTGAGTATTTAAAGTGTGGGCATGCACCTCAATTCAAATGCTCACATGAGCATGCACCACATACATACACAGCACACATACTCACACACAACACACAGACACGCCCATGAACACACACACAGCACAAATACGCACACACATGCACATGGACACTCACGTTCAAAGCACAGACACCCACATGAACACACACACAATACAAACATGCACACACACACAGGACACTCACATTCAATATACAGACATGCGCATGAATACTCACACACAACACAACACACCCACACGAACACACACACAACACAAACATGCACACACATGAAAACTCACATGAAGCAGAAACATGCACACACACGCCACAAAATACACACAAACACACACACACACAGCACAAACACACACACAAACACTACACACAGCACAAACACACACACAGTTGAATACTCACATACACATGAGCACTCACATACAGCACAAACACACACACACGAACTCTCACACAGCACACACACGAACACACACAGCACACACACACACATGAACACACAGAGCACAAACACACACTCACACTCACACACAGCACACTCACACTCACACACAGCACACACACACACGAACACTCACACACAGCACACACACACACTCACACACAGCACACACACATACACACACTCACACACAGAGCACACACACACACACAGCACACATACATACACACATGAACACACAGAGCACACACACACAGCACACATACATACACACATGAACACACAGAGCACACACACACACAGCACACGCACATACACACATGAACACACAGAGCACACACACATACACAGAGCACACACACATACACACATGAACACACAGAGCACAAACACACACACACGAACACTCACACACAGCATAAACATGCACACATATACATGAACAGTCACACACAGCACAAACGTATACACAAACACATCACTGAGTAGCAGCTGGGAAGCCTATATTTACAGCTTAGTTTTCTCTGCAGAGCAGAAAAAAGAGAGACTAAAAATATTCATGGCAGTGGGGGTGGGGGTGGGGTCTCAGGGCTGCAGGAAGATGCTAGGTGGCAGGTTATCTGGGAGGAGGGAAGTGTGCAGCCGAGTCTGGGAGAAGGGAGACAAGAAAGGAGAAGCATGGAAAGGGTGTATAATGAACTTGGTTTGTAGCTTTCAACAAAAATATTAATTGTGTCCATGGCAGAAATGATCATGTTCCTGACAAGGACCAGGCCCTCTTTCTGGGACTGGACCTTTCCTAGTGAGGAGGTGGGGGCTTAGCGGAAGCATCTGTATGTGTTCCACGCTTCCCTCTCTGCTCAAGACCTGGGCTAATGAACAGCCAGAGTTGAGAACTGCGGGCCTGGAGTCTCAGAAGCATTCTGTGGTTGGGCCCAGATCAGAGGCAAAGAACAGTACGATTGATTGCAGCACCTGCCGTGGTCACAGGTGGAGGGGGTGGTGGTGCCTACCTGATGCTTTACAGTTTACAAAGCACTTTCTCACCAGTATCTGAGAACAGCACTCTAAAATTGTTGCTATTGCCATTTTACAGATGAAAAAACTGAGAATCAGAAGCCCTGTCTATGTACAACCACCCTGGGCTGGAGCAGACCCTAAAGGTACCCTGACTATCCCCTGTCTTTTAGGGGGCTAAAGGGAGGAGAGTGGGTACAGGGCTCAGCTCCGGCTCATGAGTCACGACAGGGGTTTGTCCTTGGCAGTGCTGTCACCTGCCTGCCTGCTCCTCCCACCCAGCAAGTTCCAGAGGAGATGAACCACAAGGTAAGCGAGGAAAAGGACTCCGTGCTACAGAAGAAGCTCCATGCTGCCTGGCTCCTCGAAATGCTTTGATTTCCTCTCTGCTAGAGAACAGGAGGAAATCCTGGTGGCATAGTGGTTAAGAGGTACGTCTGTCCTATAGGGTTGATATGAGTCGGAATTGACTCAATGGCAATGGGTGGGTAGAGAGCAGGAACTACTCTATTTCACCAGCCAAAGAACTGAGTCACAGAGAGGGACAGAGATCTCATCTAGGGTCATCTAGGTTGTCAGGGGCAGAGCCTGGATTGGACCCAAACCCTGTACTTCCATGCCCTGTGCGCTTTCCAACACACAGCATTGACCTCCAACATGAACATTGGACGTGTCCAACACAGGACAGCACTAATCTCAATGTGGGTGAGGAGACGGTGTCCCCATGGTGGGCAGGAGGATCAGGGACAGCAGTGAGAGGTCTAGGTGTCTCAGGAGTGGACAGGATGCTGGGAACAATAGCGAGGTGGGTATTTTACAAGGTGGGCATTCAGCAGCATGAAGGAAGAGAGTGGAGGTGGGCCAGGGAGGAGGGGGAGGCCACAGGAATAGACATCTTGAGAGGAGGTACAGGCCAGAAGCCGCCTGGGGAAGCCAGATGCATAGTGTGCACTCGTCAGTTCTGCTCTGAACTGTTCAAGGAAGGTCTTTCCTGCCTAAGCCTCTGGCTCCCTGAAGTCCAGGAGGAGCAGAGACTCCTGGCTACAAGAGATGGGGAGGTACCGGGCCTCTGGAGATAACCCAGGCAGAGGAAAAGAGGTTCAGGTACACACTGTAGTCGGGATGAGGCCCTGAGTATGTGAAATGACCCTCAGTAGGAGGGTGGAGCTGGAAGCCAAGATGGAGGGGCTGTGTCAGAGACTGGTTTCCTAGTGATTGTGAGCTCCTTGGGGGAGGAATCAGGCTGGGCTCTGATGTGGCCCTGGAAGTTAGAGCTACAGCTGAGTCAACCCTGGTCTCTCCCTGGAGGAGGCAGGGCTTTGGACCCTGTCAGTTATGTGTGGTCTGGTTTATGCTGCTGCTCAGTCACTTTCATCTCCTCTCACCTCCATGGCTACATGCAGGGGCTAGACAATCTCATATCCCCATCCCCCACTCACAGATGCAAGGCTGAGCCTCAGAAAGGGCAAGTGATGGGTCCTGGCCAAGGCTTCTGACTCCCAGTTCATTAGTCTTTGCATTTTACTGCTCTCCTAAAAATTCCTGCCAGATTACCACACCCAGCTAGTGCAAGGTCCAACAGGGATAAGGCAGCAAAGCTCTGAAGATCTTCCTCTAGCTGCAAGTGCTCCAAGAGACAACTAGTTCTAGTTCCCCAGCTAGAACTAACCATTCTCTCCCTTGCATCCCTCAATGTGCCCTGGAGAATATTTGTTGTATGAATTCCTCATTTGTGTGTCCCTCACAATAAGTCCTGTAAGCTCCGTAACAGCCGCTTCTTCATCTTTAAATGTCCAGCACTAGAATCAACCGGACAGCTCCATTGGGCAGGGATGGTTTGTGTAAGAGGACACCTGGAGTGGAAGTAAGTGAAAGGACAGGGCTAGGAGGGCACCCAAAGGAGAGAGGGGGATGTGATGGGCCATGACTATGGAGGGGGAGTGCTTGCTGAAAGTGAAAAGGACTTGAAGCACTTACTGGTGAAGATCAAAGACCACAGTGTTCAGTATGGATTACACCTCAACATAAAGAAAACAAAACTCCTCACAACTGGACCGATAAACAACACCTTGATAAACAGAGAAAAGATTGAAGCTGTCAAGGATTTCATTTTACTTGGATCCACAGACAACAAACACCCATGGAAGCAGCAGTCAAGAAATCAAAAGATGCATTGCATTGGGCAAATCTGCTGCAAAAGACCTCTTTAAAGTGTTAAAAAGCAAAGATGTCACTTTGAAGACTAAGGTGTGCCTGACCCAAGCCATGGTATTTTCGATCGCATCATATGCATGCGAAAGCTGGACAATGAACGAGGAAGACCGAAGAAGAATTGACGCCTTTGAATTGTGGTGTTGGTGAAGAATATTGAATACACCATGGACTGTCAAAAGAACGAACAAATCTGTCTTGGAAGAAGTATAATGAGAATGCTCCTTAGAAGGAAGGATGGTGAGACTACGTCTTACATACTTTGGACATGTTGTCAGGAGGGACCAGTCCCTGGAGAAGGACATCATGCTTGGTAAAGTACAGGGTCAGCGAAAAAGAGGAAGACCCTCAACGAGATGGATCGACACAGTGGCTGCAACAATGGGGCTCAAGCATAACGATGATTGTGAGCTTGGCGCAGGACCAGGCAGTGCTTCATTCTGTGGGGCATGGGGTCACTAGGAGTCGGAACCTAACAACCAACAACAACATGGAGTGGGAGAGAAGAGGAGAAGCAAGGAGAAGAGAGGCGAGGAGAGGCAAAGTGAAGAGAAGAGAGGTGAAAGGAGAGGAGGAGAGGTGAGGCGAAGGAGGAGAGTAGAGGAGAGGTGAAGTGAAGAGAAGAGAGGCGAGGAGAGGAGAGGGGAGTGGA